CCTCAGATACAGATAGATATGAAATGCATGGTGTGATCGACATTATACCAATACATGGAGCACGGAACACTCCTGATGTTCTCATACCTTCAACAAGGTGCTTGCTGCCCCATCCAGGGCTTTGTCCGTTTTCTTAAAGACTTTGGCAGATCCAGCTTAAAGTAACAGATATACGAACAACTTGTCTGCAGGCCCTGTCTCTTGCCTAGTTTCCATCAAAAGTGTTCTAAAGTACCAAAGCTTTGTTTAAGCTTTTTCACCTTGTGAGTCCCTGGTACATAAGGAGCATCCTGCTTAGAGAAAGAGTTCAGAAACTGCTATTTTGGGAATCCTTTTTAGAATCTGTCCTTTTGCATTGCATCTCTGTCTTACTCTGTTGTATTGCAGCTCTAACTGCTCTCTTTGAGAATCATGGACTGTGAAGACTGTGCTGTGAGAATGGGAGTGGACCTAGTATCACTAAGGGAAGTATGGGATTTTTCAGAAGGCTTTGGGACTTGCTAATAGTACCATGGACTCCCCCTTCTTAAAAGAAGTGGAAAAGATCCTTGAACCATTGGGAATTTCAAATGAAACTTAATGGCAATGATTAAAAGTAAAAATATCTCTTCGGCATTGGCAAAGTCAGTGCATGCTCTTTTTGTTAAAAATTAGAAATAAAAATGCCAGCGACATCACTGGCAGTACTTGATAGGTGTAGCTCTTGAACCCTCTCAAATCAACTACAGGCCTGTTTGAATCCTGGCATCATAACAGTTCTGTAGGAAAGTTAGCCAGTGTATGAATTCTGACATCTCATGGTGCAGTGAAGAAGGAAACATTCTCTTGGGTGAGTCTGGGGTATCTGGGATGGATGACATCTGGCCTCAGGCTGTGATAGAGCAAATGACAATGGGGCCTTAGACAGAAGGGGTAGAGACCTTCTACATTGAGCAGAACAAGCATGCATGGAAATAACTTATACATAATGAGGAGAAACATACATTTCCATGATGGATGCAGTTCCTGAAAGAGCAAGACTGAAGTGTTTAATTCCACTTTTCAAAGTCACAAAGATATAATCCATCTAATGGGAAAAATATACACTCCATGGAAAGTTTATATACACATGCAGGAACATATGTTGAACCGATTAAACACAGTTCAGTTAGTTTATTCTGGTTTTGCTTTGTTACATCTATAAATGGAAAAATATGGCATCTGATAATAAATAGCATGCAAATGAAAGTGACCAGACATGAAAGACTTCTTCTGACCAAAAATTTTTTGAAGTCTGATGGAATATTTCCCCATGTCAGAGAGCAGCTGATCCTTCAGCAGAGTACTGAAGTCCCCAGTCTTGAATTCTAGCTCCAGTTATGGGCAGGGAACTGTAGTAGCTGTGATAGACTTAGGGAATAACCTCCACCAATTCAGTCCTGGTGGGAGATTAACATAGAACAGTGGGTTGGTTTTTTTTTGAAACCTGCAACCTGTTCAGCTCTTGCTAATTCTAGAGGTGTAAGTACTGCAATTCAGGGGGCCGCTTGTATTTTTTAAATGAAGCAAGTAAAGATGAAGTTGTTAGAATCTTAAATGCTTTCATTTGGTTTAATATACACTTCATAGAGGTGAAGAAAAGAAGCTTCTTCTAAAATACTCCACTAGAACTTTTAAGTCATGTCTTGTTTCATGCCTCAAATATGGTTTTTAGTACAGTTTGCGTCCTTGTTTCCTTGTGGAAAAATACTGCAAAGAAATATCTTTCCTCTTTCCTTTGGCATCACAGCTGTCAAAAGACATTGTTAGATTTTCACAGTGGACAATCTATCAGGCACAATGTCTTGTTATTGAGATATTCTGAGGAAAAAAAGATGAAGGATGGATAGGTGTACTGCAGTGGTTAGAGAGAGATAGCTGAGGAAAATCTTAATGAAGATTCACAGCATGACATTTAGGTCAAAGTCCAAAGTAAGGTTCATCTATCTGCCTTCAAGGAAGAAGCTGAAAAACAGTAGCTTCTGAAAGGTGTATCTTTCTAGCCTGTAAAAGCTGGCAACTACCACAATCCTATATAGCATCTTAAAACTCAGCAGTCTCCCTGGCTCAGTAAAGTCCTGATGCAGTTTTTTTCTGCCAAGAACCAGTACTGGCACACTGTTAGTTGGATTTCCTGATAGTTCTTAGTTCAGTGGGCTATGCCTACTATGAAACACAACATATCCAAGCAGCACATTGTTGTTAAAGCTAAAAAAATTTCATTGTATGGGAGAAGTTTATGGTCTTTATCCAGGTGGAAATTCTGAATATAGTATACTCTGAATACAGGATGAGGCGTAAAACACACTATTGTTACCAAGGTGAAGAAGAAACTCTTTGCCTGAGCCCTGAATTCCACATGGGAGTTGATGTCAGGCCAGTATTTCACAGTCAGTCTGCACATCACGTATAACTGGATTATAGTGAGCAAAACACAAACTGACAGAAGAACTCCGATCAAGCAGTAGTTTAGTACCACCATGGGCATCTCTTCCACCTCCTGCTGGAACTGAAAGCATTGAGAGGAAGGGTATGTTCTAGAGGTGCCATAGTAAGAGAGAAAAACAGGAGCAATCACCAGAGCGCCTAGCATCCAGACAGTTGTCACCCAAATTGTAGTGTAGCACTTGTTGAACTCAAGTTGAAAGAGACGTATTACAATGATAGCAACATAAAAGGTGAAGGTGGTGTACATATGGAGGTAGATGATGGCACTTACTAGCTTGCAAGTGAATGTCCCAAATTTCCATTCCTGTGAAATGTAATAGCTGAGGCAGAAGGGGATGCTGAGTAACAGAAGGGTGTGAAGCACTAGGAGGTTGATTATGATAATAATCATCACAGATTGGGATTTCCTTTGAATCAACTGGTGAGCCATCACAAGGACACCAAGTGTACCCCCAGCTAGGTCAATGCTGTACAGGGTTATGAGAATAGAGCGAAGCCTGTCTGAGGTGTCCGGCACTGCCCTCATCATAGACTGATTCTGCTGGGTTAAGCTGCTGTTGGACATCCTGCTAAGCACCTCTTTTGAAGGTTACTGTAAAAGAAAAATGGGAATTAGTAAAATAGATATGTATTTTTCATTCCTTCACAGAATCACAGAATGGCCAGGGTTGGAAGGGACCTCAAGGATCATGAACCTCCAACCCCCTGCCACATGCGGAGCCACCAACCTCCCCATTTAATACCAGACCAGGCTGCCCAGGGCCCCAGCCAACCTGGCCTTGAACACCTCCAGGGATGGGGCATCCACAGCCTCTATTGGAAGCCTATTTCAGCATCTCACTTCTCTCTATGTGAAGAACTTCCCCCTGACATCCAACCTAAATCTTCCCTCCCTCAACTTAAAACTGTTTCCCTTTCTTTATTGTTAACTACAGAATGTTACAGATTCATGAAGTAATATGTAAGTGAACTGTGTTTGACATTATCTTACATATACATAACCTTGAAGCACTTCTCATGGTGCATATGGCAGCAATAAGCTGCATCTCTTAGTGTTAAAACATATTGTTTACAATAATGAAAGTGTTTTCAATTCAGTAAACTGCATGACAGGATATTTTTTCAATTATTTACCTCTATCAGCCTTCCAAAATAATTAAGACACTGACTGTTTGAAAATTCTACAAGTTTAATTTGCATCTAAGATTGAAGAAAGGGAAAATAGTGAAATGTAAAGAGGCTGCACGTACAATTTATGCATAATTTATGAAGACACCACAGCCATATTTTTAGCATTTTGCTGGATGACTGCAGGGCACCCGTAAGGCAGCAACAGCTTCTACATTTGTAGAGCGCACTGGAAATAAGGATCTGCAGATTAGAAGTCAATTTCTTCTTGCTTTATTTCCAAAATTTTTTGCTACAGAATTTCTCTTGCACTGCTCTATTATACAAAGTAAAGAGAAGCTAAAAATAATTAAGGATTTTTTTTTTTTTTTTTTTTTCAAGGAGGAAAACCTATTGGCACTTGTTGAACGTAGCCAGATACATCCATGCTCATATTTAGATGTAACACTTGCACAGAGTTCTCTGTTTGCACAAAAGTATATGGATGTAGCATGCAGGGTACATGAACATTTTGCTAATGAGATCTCACCTTATAGAGAGTATCCAAAGAATGTAGTAATGGCTGAGATATGGTGTCTCAGAGAGGTAATGTGCTCACTCTCTGATTACTCTCTTGTTTGGAAGCAGTAACATGGCTTTAATCTGCAGTTCTTAATTCTGTTGCACTCATCTGTGAGACGATTATAAAGCACATCTCCATTATTAGGGTCATGTTTTTCCCAGTAATTGATTGTAACTTAAGAACATTTTCAGAGAAAATTCTGATTTTTTAAGCACCAGTCAAAGTATCTTTAGAAGACCATTGGAATACTGTGTCCAAACCTGATCTAAACCCATTCTTTTAAAATGCATGTTCTAAGAAGAATTCTAAAGAGTTTAGAATTTCTCATGCCCACTAATATTTTTGAGATAGGCTTGAGAAATCTGTTTTTATCAACCTTGCTGTAAGAAGTTTTACAAGGCTTATGAAGGCGACTTTCCACTCTTGGCGTAAAAGAACGTTCCACTATATGTTTTAATATTTCAAACTGGCTTTAAATAGGAACAATCATTTTTTAAATGATAATAAATGGTATAACTATAGCCCAGATACCAACAGTTTATATTACTCAGAAGTAGATCAGCTTTTTGACTCTATTTATAGAAGTAAAATTATTAATTTTTACCTTGTAATGTCTTAGTTTGGTGATTCCTCCTCCCTTTACTGCCATTTCATGCACTCGTAGCATACAGCACATATAATCAGCGTGAAAAAAAGCTTTGGTCTTTGCTGTTCACCCAAGAGCAGCTGAAGGTTTTCTCAGCCCACATACAGGAAGGAAGAAGTCATATTTTTATTTGCAGAGATAGCAATCAAGTAAGTTCAACTTCCAGTATTACTCTATTGTTCACGCAGAAGAAAATGCTGTAAAGCTGCTGAGCTGTCAGAACTCATCACAATGCTTGGACATGTAGGACAGATTCACTTGGCAGGACTGCTCCTGCCCACACTTGGTCAGTCTTAAGCTGGGCAGTGATTCCTTCAGCTGAACAGCTATTACAAGGTACTGGATTTTGCCATTTAGCAAAAAGAAATATGCATCTGAGGAGGGGATTTTTCATTATAAATATATTTTATCCTGCACTTGTTCCGTATTTAATAGTTTATAATATGTGCCAGAATAACAAGGTGTTTAGCAGAGTTAAAAAATAGACATCACTTGAACGCTCTGTCTTGAAGAATACAGAGGTGGTTACTCACTGCTTAAGTAGCACAAGTAAAGTAAACTTCATATATATAAAGCAACTTATGAGTTTCTGCTGTTAAAAAACACTGTCCAAGACCAGCAACTGTTGAAGGTTATTCTGAACTACATGAAGGCTGACCCCAAGCCAAAGCATAGTTATAAGGTAAAAAGGAAAGCAGTGAGTCAGGGATTTTCCACAGACTGTAAAAAACAGTTTGTTGATTAGAAATGAAAGAGGAAACAAAATCTGTGGTAATGTTTTTTTTTTTTTTTTCAATTAGGTTTCTAAACCACAGTCAGAATGGTCAATACTCAAATAAGAATGGTTAATATACAAAGCCTTGTGAGCACTAGCATAAAGCCAATATTCCAGCAGGGCTGAACTAGCATCACTTCTGCAATTGTAAACGGTTGTCTTCTGTGGAATGTGAGGGTGGTTCCCTTTGGGAAACTTCTATTACTAAGTATAGTCATTAGGAAGAGCTGATTAGACAGTAACTAAGTACGAACACACATACACAAAAACAAGGGCACTGAAATTCAGGGAGAAAAACTGTAAGAGTTTTGAGTGTGAGCAAGAGCACACAGAGACTGGTATGTGGGACATTCTCAAGACAAACTCTGAAAGCTTTGAGAAAACAGTTAACATTGCATTTAGACAAGGATTCGGAGCAAGTAGAAACCCTGTTTTGGAGACTGCGCGCATTGGTGGCTTGGGGGTAAGAGAAATGAGTAATTGCTCCAACAGACAGAGTGAGAAAGGTAAACAGCTGTGTGAATAATGATACTCACCAGGTATGGATCCAGCTTAATACCACATAAGGACAGGCTGCTTCCTGACGTATAGTAGTAATAATGTTTGGACATCAGAATGATTGGTTGGGTCTGCAGAAACATAGAGAGGAATAGGGAGCAGCATGGGTTGCTCCCTCTGCTTTTGGCAGGTTAAAGTGCCTGTGAAACTAGCTACATTCCCAGCCTCTGGGTAAAGAAGGGAAATGCATGCAGCCTTATGTTCTGTCTACAGACAGCATCTGGAGCAATCCACAGATTGAATCACCAAGTAGCACTGAAGAAGAGAGATGAAGAAACTGATTTGTTAAAATGACAATTGCAGTAACAATAGATGCTCCAGGCAGAACCAAAGCCAACTAGAACATCAAAAGCTTTGCATATCCTCTTGCCTTACCCAGTCAAGTCTGAGCTCTTTGTATGCACAACAGTTCCAAAAACTACAGCCAAAGGAGCACCTTTGGCTGACATTGAAACAGATGTGGGGCAGAAACTAAACTTCTGAATTGATGCTTCACGTCCCTGAGTTGCTATGTCCTCAAAGTGCTCCTTGTATGTTGAAACTTCAGTGTTCAGTGTGTTAAACTTTTATCTTCATGTTGTGTTTAGAAAAAAAAAAAAAAAGAAATAAATGTGCTCAGCAAAACTAGGTCTTACATTTTAGGTCAGATTCCCATTAGGGTACAAAAGGAAATTGAGTCATCTCAGCCTGTACAAATGAACCTTAAGATCTTACTTCTGCTCCTTTCATTGTAGCACAATTTGCCCCTGGTGAGAATAAAGACTGAATGAGAAATGCACATATGCAAGTCAGAGATCCAGGTCAAGACTAGTATCACAAATAGAGTTTAAGAAGGGAAAGAAGAAGACTTGCTGAATGTTCAGAGACTGGATGAGTTCCTCTAAGCAGTAGATTTCTATGTATTTGATTTTATTTCTGCAGGATTGCCTCTACTTTCACTGTCACTGTGTGAGAGAGTGTGTTTACTGGTCATTATAGCAGCAACTGTGGTTTCACATATGAACTCAAGAGCTCCTGTCTTTATAGTATCCACCATAAAGCCATGCCACTTTGTTTTACTGGACAGATTTACAATTTTATCTACTTCCAATTTAGTGTCCTAATTACTGATCATTTCAACTATTTGTGAATACTAAATTCTATAGCTAGTTTGTTATGGAAACTTTGCTCCATATGCCAATCATAGACGATGGCTGCGTTACATTCCAGCTTACCAGTTTTTCTGTGGTTGCAGTGAGTAGTTCTTGCTGCCTCACTCCCAGTCTATCAGAAATGGGTCACGGGTACTGGAAAATGAGTAAATCATTTTCCTAAAACATACTCCAGTGCTTTAGGATAATTGCTTTAAATTGCAAATCCCACCCACTCGTGCTTCATGAAGAAATGTATAATTTCAGTCAGTAAGTGATTAAAAAAAAAAAAATAGATTTCAGATTCTTGGACTAATCCTCTATTTTTTGGTTGCAAATTTGAGAAATTTCTTAAGCTTTGTCATGATGGAAGTGACTGCCTGGCTTCTCTATTTATTAGAAATAATAACACAACATAGTTGCCTTAGTCATACCTATTTAATGTGCTTCAAAATACTAAGTTCTACATAAGAAGAAAAAAGCATGTAGAGGAGTTCTACAGAGGAACTTGACAAGGTATCTCACACAAAGGTTACATCTTGCTTTTTGAAACAAAACTTACTTCTTCAGTATGAAGTATGGAGATAATATTTATTATTATAGGCAGAGGAACTTGTGGGCATTATTCTCCTGAGTGGTAAATACCAGTTCAGTAGTAAGATAGAACACTTACGAAATACTCATATCCTGTTGTTAGGTCTAGTTGTTCTCAATGCTCGTAAAGGCAATTAATTTTTTCTCTGCTTTTTGTTGTTCTAGGAAATTGATAATACTAGCAATAAAGCACCTTTCAGGGAAACAGATGCAAAGAGCCACATGTGAGGAGGGCTCTGGCACTGACAACATAACCTTTCCCTGTCCCAAACGTCTTTCTTTTCTGTTGGAACATGCTGCCACTAATGCTCCTCATTACACTTAATTTCTTCCATTTACAGTCCTGCACTCTTTCTCAGAAGTCTGCTTTTTGATAGCCACAGTCACCATGTTTCTCACATTCTTTTACTTGAGAAATGGTCCTACAGCCACAACAGTGACTTCTGCTAGCAACACGCAGAATCCCCAAGGCCTCTGTAGGGGGGGAATCTTGTGAATTTTTGTGGCACAGAGGCAAATAGAAAGAAAACAGAAACCATGTGATTTATTTCAGAAATCAAATATCCTCACTGCATGAATAGAAGTTTTGAAAGTATTACAGAAAGCATGGGCCATGCTCAATACAAAGAGGTTGTGCTTTCCAAGGCGGGCTATGCTATCAGTTTTGCACTTGTTTTATGTATTAAAATCTATTTTTATATGGTACTTCTTACTGAATAACCACAGTGAGCATTTGGGAAAATGAAAAAAAAAAAAAATCATTTCTATTCTCTTTTTATTAACTGGGAAGGTTTCATTACCCATGGTGTTCACAGGAAGAAGTTAAAACGAATGCCATGCCATATGTCTGTTTATACCCCCTACTCTCACCACACTGTAAACAGAATATAGACAACAAATCAAAATTCTCTTTTGCTAAAATGATCATGATCCTAAATATTATCAAACTGTCTACACAAGTGGATCCAATAGCTTTCACAATTCCATTGTTTTTTCAGATCAAGGGTTTGAGAAATTACTGTAATTATAAGAACATTTTCACCCTCAAGCATAGATGGGCCATGCAGCTAATTAGCATACTTTAAGCTAACTCTATGAAAATGAAATATGTGATAGGTTCCAAATGAATCATTTAGCAGGATCCTGTTGGACTTATCTTTCCATGCTGACAAAAATGGACTGTAGAAAAATAGAACGGGATGGAGGGGAATGTTTAAGTGATTTAGTGATTGATTTAATTGCTTTTCTTTCAACCACTGGCAGTTCCTAGATGTGAAGGACGGGAAGGCAAATGACACTAGCCTTTTACGTTACAAAAGCTGAGTGGTGCCAGCCTTGGCATCACATGCCTTAAAAGTATGATGGGGCTGGTGGCTGCTCCCAATGGTCATCACCGAGCCATGTGTCCCCACGGTTTTCTTCTTAAAGAATTTTACTTTCAGAATAACTGCAGCCACACACACTTGCACAAGGTGCTAATGCAGGACAGCTTCCCATGGTTCAACTATCATGTTCATTCACCTTCTCCAAGCACATGCAACAAACCTTCAGCAGCCACTTGCTTGCTCTGAGAAATAATTGCATGAAGACTTTCCTTACAAGAGGTCCTGTTTTTTTCCTAGGCAAATCATGAACTACTGAGAAATTTATTTTTCTCATATCTGAGAGTGAAAAAGTTGTCCTAAATGTGATTAATGGATGTAAAATGCAGGTGAAAATCAGGAATGGAGTTTATCTGCAGGTTTCAAAGGTACATAGATTTGTGTGCAATTCTTACGTAATGTATTTCTGTACATCCTTAATGTACAGAATGGCTGAAGTAATTGTGGTAGAAATAACTATCTTTAAAAATGTTACATTCATTTGTAAAGCTGGAGGCCTAATTTATCTAAATATACAGTTGCACTGTTTTGCAATCAGAAGATGAAAGGTCTCAGATATGAATCCAGGGATTCAGTCATCAGTTCAAAGAAAGACAGTGAAAGAGGCAATTAATGATCTTGCTGCTATTTTTGTTGTTGTTTGCCTGTTTGCTCTGTTTTTTTTTCATTTTTTTTGTGTTTTTTTTTTTAGTAGGGATGCTTTAGGCATGACATTCAAAGCTTCATCAATATTATTCGATTGTTAGCTGTTAAGGGTTGAAAATGGATTAGTTTAAAAGTTCCTTGTGAAAGCCTTCTGATAATTGAAAAGCCACCTGATTAAACTATGAATATAGAATATATTTTTCCTGTTTGAGCTTCTGGATTTTTTATATATTTTTTTGCTTGATACGCTCA